ATGGACGGTTGTTAGCTGCCATGTGGATGCTGGGATTTGAACCCAGGTCTTCTTCAACCGCTGAGCCATCTCTCCAGCCCTTTCCTTGAGTTCTTTTATTATTCCCAACTTCCCATGTCTACTTACTCATGATCCTCAAACTGCGCCAGTATCTGCGATGGACTTGGATGGTCTCAGTGATTGAGGCCAGGGCTCTTGGTTGTGGAGGCCGCAGCAAGGCAAGCAGGGGTGGTGGGTCTCCAAGGAGGGAGTGGGTACAGGCAGCCATGGACTCAGAGATGGATGCCAAGTTGTATCCTCCCTTTGTTAAAGAAAAGGGGAGGGAAGGTATAATGAGGGTTCATCAAGGAATTTGGAGGATCAGATGGCCTGAAAGTCTAATTAGTACTCTTCTTCATTCTAGGGCCCTAAAAGTCTGGAGTATAGGGTGGTACCAGGAACAAATGAGTATAACCCACATTTGTAAAATGGGCAGTATTCAACTGTGTGAGCTGGTTGTTGGGGAAGGTAAATTGTGCTGTCAAGTGCAAGGTAACAGTAACAATACTGGTAATAGTATTAATAACAGATTACACTTCCTGTTTGCTGTGTGCCAGATCCCATTTTATTTATGCATACTAATATATATTTAATATATTTATAGTTAGACATATTAACACAATCCTCACAAGGATAGGTGCTCAACCTGTACAGCAACCTGCCCTCATGCCATATACAAAGAAAACATGTCTTCACATTGTCCAGGAACCCCTGGCCTTGTATCATAGAAAGCACTGGCATGACCCCCACGAAATGGACATGGTGGATTCACCAAAATCCCCTATCCTGAGATAGGACAGGAACAACTAGTATTCTCTCTGCATGACCCCTAACTTAGACTGTTTTTATACTCCATAGAAACTTATTTCTACTCTTTTTGCACATAAGGAAACCAAGGCTCAGTGTGGTTAGATGACTTGTGTGAGATCACAACAATTGAAGAGGCAATGCTGGTGTTTGAACCATGTTGTTGTTATTATTACCTGGTACCAAGGAACTGAACCTAGGGTCTAGCAGATGCTAAGCAAGTGCTCTACCACCAAACTACTAGTCCTTTGCCTTAGTGCATGTTCCTTTTTATTTTTTCTTGTCTTTTTGAGACAGGGTCTCCCTGTAGCCCAGCTGGCCTGGAACTTGCTATGCAGACCAGGCTGGCCTTGATCTTACAAAAAAGATAGGCCTGCCTCTACCTCCTGAGTGCTGGGATTAAAAACGTGCGTCACTATGCCTGGCTCCCTAATGCACTTCTTAATCACCACTCTAGCTTTCCACAAGCAGTCCTACCTAGGCAAACTACAAATGGGACTTTTTATAAGCCAGTTACTTTCTCTATGACTTTGTGTCCTCATCTGTAAAAGTGAAAATAACATCAATGTTTGCTGAGAGGTCAAGTTAATGTCTGAATAATGCATAACAGTAGGAAGACAGGGCATCTTTACAGTCCATCCTGTATGTCAGGCACTCATTCATGATTAGCCAGCTCTATCCAACAAATTAGGGAACCCCGGGGCAAGGGGTACGGGGCACTGAATCATTTACAAAAGTTCAGTGAGCCTGGCATGGTGGCATATGCCTTTAATCCCAGCACTCAGGAGGCAGAGGCAGGCAGATCTCTGTGAGATCCAGGCCAGCCTGGACTACACAGTGAGTTACAGATCAGCTGGGGCTACAGGGAGACCAAAAAAAAAAGCTAGGTGTGGTGGTGTGGTGGTTGCACACCTTTAATCACAGTACTTGGGAGGCAGAGGCAGTCGGATCTCTGTTGAGTTGGAGGCCAGCCTGGTCTACATAGTGAGTTTAAAGCCAGCTGGGGCTACAGGGGTGAGGTTTAAGCGACCTGGGGGTATAGGGAGAGTCTCTACACACACACACACACACACACACACACACACACACACACACACACACCCCAAGAAAGAGATCAGTGAGGTGAGGCTGGGTGTGGTGGCATATACCTTTAATCCCAGCACTCAGGAGGCAGACGTCGGTGGATCTCTGTCAGTTCAAGGCCAGCCTGGTCTACACAGTGAGCTCCAGGTCAGCTGGAGAGACCCTGTCTCAAAAAGAACCCTCCCCCAAAAACTAAAAACAAAAAAGAAAAAGGTCAGTGAATTTTCTGTCTCTGTAACATGTTAGGAATTCAGGTAATGGTGAAAAGCAGCCCCCCAGAACCATCTGTTGAATATTTGTTCAAGTCTCAATTCTGCCATTTTAAGTGTATGATCTCAGGCTAGCCATTATTCTACTCTGTGCCTCAGTTTCTTGATGTTTTATTTTTTGGGGAGGAGTTTTCTGAAACAGAATTCTATGTAGCCCAAGTTGACCTCAAACTCAGTATTTAGCTGAGGATGACCCTAATCCTCCTCCCTCCACCTCCCAAGTTCTAGGATTACAGGCATGTACTACCATGTTCAGCTACTTCCTCTGATCTTGAGAAAGGAAAATGATGAGTCAAACATACTCTACTTTACATGCTACTTTGTCAAGTAAACTTGTAATGCAAAAAAGTGTGGAGGAGAGTAATTTGCACATAGTGAGTGCTTAAGACTCCTAATACTATTGTTACTGTCCTTATTAATGTCCCAGGTGGATCTGTACTCAGGAGATTTTAGGAAACTGTCCCAAGTGCCATTGCCAACTCTTCCAAACTACCCTCCCACCATGGGAATAGGAACCAAGAGAGAGAATTACCTCTAAAATAAGGATAATGTGGCCATTGGCAAGGCCCATCAGCAGATGGGTAAGGTGGGCATAGCCCTCCGGTGTCACCTGGCAGCCACCCAGTGGGTCTCCTTGTGCTGCATCAAAGCCAGCTGAAACCAGCACCAGTTCTGGATTAAACTGCAGTAAAAGAGACACATGAGCATGAGGGGGAAGGCGTGGGTAGGTGGTAAGAGATGGACATAAGGACAAATAGAGGCATGGAGACAAAAGTCAGAGACTGGGAATTGTAAAAACAGAGACCTGAAAATAAGGAGAAGACAGGGGAACATAAGAAAAAGAGCCTAGAGCTAGGAGAAACAGACAGGCTCAGTCTGTCAGAGACAAGGACATATCTGACATAGACTTAAGCTATGTGGAGATGCCGGGCATAGTGGTGCATGCCTTTAATCCCAGTACTCGAGAAGCAGGAGCAGGTAGAGCAGCAGATTGAGGCCAGCCTCAATAGCAAGTTCCAGGCTAGCTGAGGCTACAGGGAGATCCTTTCTTAAAAAAGATGCCCCCCAAATGTAGGAGTCATGAAACAGATATGGATCACAGAGACAAGACAACATGGAGATTCAGATGTCAAGAGGTAGTGCCAACAGAAATGTAGAGACAGAGGGATGTCTTCTCTCACACACACTACAGTCAAATATGGGACACATATGCATACAATACAGGCTTTTATACACACAGAATATGTAATAATACAAGTATACAGACAGGACTACAAATCGCACTAGTCATACACATATACTTGGCTTCTCAGAAGGACAATAATACACAACCACCCCTGCATAGTCATAATCATATACATGCCTTTGCCACAGTCACAATGGTCACACACACACTGCTGTGCCATTGGGAAGCAGTCATTTGCACAGTTGTGCATAAATACATGTACAAGGTAGTCTCTACCGCTGTGCATAGCCACATGCATACAGATCTAAAAGCACACTCCAAGTCCAGGTTTGCATAGTTGTATGCACACTCATGCTTCACTGTGTCAGTTACACATATGCCATTGGTCCTGCCCTCTATTCACATACAGCAAGGCCATACTCCAGTCAGAGCAGTTGAAGAGACCCATACACAAACAGGTAAGCCCAGTCAAAGAGACACAGAGATAGGGATCCCATTGAGCTTCCACCTTCAAAGCGTCACTCTCAGACTATCACAAGAGTTAGCAGCATGCAGTGACATACAGTATCTGTCATACCTATCACACACAGAAAGGAGATGATAGCCACCTGTGCAGCATCACAGACGTATTCAATCTCCTGCCTCCCTTGTACACACAGTTCCACAGAGACAATACTGTCTCTGTCACTTATGACCACCCTTATAGTTATGAACTCATGATGGCAGACACATAGGGCATGGATCCAGCCAGGCCACACAGACCACTACAGCAAATCCAGGAGACACACACACACACACACACACACACACACACACACACAGAGCCAAGACAGTTGCTCAGAATGTCATTCATAAAAGGCACTCACACACAGCCATAGTCAGACAGATACATAAGGCCATTACAGCTACCCTTGCCCCAGCAGGTAGTCAGACTGGCATGCTGAGGAGGCAGATATATGTTGCCACCTGCACAGGTGTCATGTAATAACCAGAGTCTTACCTCATAGGCAATGGGAAGTACCAGACGATGCCAGGCAGCCAGGTAATCAGCGTCACCCATGCGGGGCCCATTCCAGGGCACATTTACAGTGAAGCCCGTGCCTGCAGCATGGCCTACTTGGCTGCTAGAACCCTCATCTCCCATGGGGAAGAAGGTGCCACGATCATATCGGTGCAGGGACATGTATAATACACTGCCAGGGAGAGGATTGGATGAGAAAGGGGCAATGGCTAGGGCTATTTAGGGGCTCCAAGCATACCTGCAGCATGGTTCAGTACCCTCCCCCATCATACTCTTGCCTCTAGTTCCATCCCTCACCTGGGGTCATCCTCAAACATGTGCTGGGTTCCATTACCATGATGAACGTCCCAATCCACGATCAGTATCCTGTGGAGGGGGATAGCTCCTTAGTAACATTGGGACACCTAGCCTATAGGAGAGGGCTATGGATAGACCATTGGGGTCTTCAGAGGCATTTACCTGTTGCTGGGCAGTAGGACCCTAAGTCTCTTGGGTCCTACTGAGCATTAGCTATCATTGTAAGGATGAAGGCTCAACCTTGGGGCCCAAGGGCTTTACTGTGGGCCTGAGCAAGTGCTCAGGGCTTGGTCCTAGGCTCTTATAGGGACTAGGAAATAGGGCCTTAGACCTGGGTAGTTAAGTTGCATGTGTCACACCCTGGGTCTTTTGGAGTAAGTATTGGGGGCCTGGGCCTGGCTCTGTTGGGATTATAGTTAGGGGTCAGAAACACTGGTGTAAGACCCTGGATCCTAGTTTAGTGTTTGGATGCCATGATTTGGTGGTCCTAGCAGGGTAGGCACTGAGACAACCCTTCTGGGTCTTTTCTGGTGAAGTTCTGGGCCAGTAGATTCTTGTTTCCGTGAAAGTCTCTAGGGCTGAAGCATGGGCCTGCCAACTAAGTATTGAGGTAGGGTAGGAGGTTCAGGTCCCTGCATGAGCAGGTTATGGGGTATCTGGGAGCCCTTACCGCAGGGGACGCCCAGCAATGGCTTGTGCATGGCGAGCAGCCACAGCCACAGAGTTGAAAAAGCAGAAACCACAAGCAGCATCCTGCTCTGCATGGTGTCCTGGGGGACGTACCACAGCAACTCCATTCAAAACCTGTGGAAGGATCAGGGAGGAAGACTGGATCCCTGGCCCTCATACTCACTCTCTCTTTTTTTCCCTTTCTCCTGTCTCTGTCAGCTGCAGCTGGTTCCTTTCAGCAAGCAGAGACTCTCCCATTGCCTCTGTCCTCAGGTCTTACTCAACTGTCAAGGCGTTGTAAGTGACAGGTGGTCTTCTCTATTCCTTTCTAGCCAAACCACACTGGCACCCAAAGAGGACACACCTCTCCTGAGAGCACAGCTTCCACCAGGCAGCAGGTGGCTCCTGCAGCAAGTTGCGCACAGGCAAAGGTGCTGGGGCAGATGTAGATGGAGTCAAAGTTAGCACCTTCACGGTGCAGCTCCCGGGTTTTCATCTTTTCTGTGGCCTGGAGACGCTCCACGTAGTCAGCACTAGAGGCACAGGTAGGAACACTTGAGGAACAATGATGTGGTTCTTTCCCCTTTCAGCCACAGGTCCACCCCCAGACAAGAACTTAGACCCCTCTGAGTAGGTAGTAGCTCTACCCATCCTGGAGGAGAGCTGTAGGCCCCACCCATAGAGCATCCCATAGTCCTGCAGCTGGCCTACACCTGGCACAGGGTCTGACCTGTGGCAAGTGAGCAGCTCAGCATCCATGGCAGGCCGCACTGGCAGGATGAGGCATCGTGAGGCAAGGCCCAGCTCCTCCAGGTGGCACATGATCCGTAAGATGCGCTGAGGTGTCTCAGGGTGGTGGCTAACAGTGGGTGAAACCAGAGTTAGGGGATTAATTGTATCCCTCAGAGTGATCCAACTATCACTTACTCCAGCCCTCTGACTGCATACTTGTCCCACAGGTTGCAGTGACTCATCATTCTTTCATCATAGACTAGTCCAGTGCGATACTGCAGTACTGGCCATGTATCCATTGGTAGTGCAGCAGCCTCCCAGGGTCTTTCCTCTTCGTTCTCTTCCACCTTGTTTTCTTCCACATCGTCATTATCTTCCTCTGGGGACTCAACTACAAGAGGGACTCAGATCACCCTACTTCTGGAACCTGGATCGATCATACTCTGGGATAAATGTGGCCCAGACATAAAAAGGGATAGGATATCTAAAACCAACCCAAGTAAGAGAGGGGGCCTGGTCCTCTCTACCAAGGCATCCCAGGAGAGTAAGAGGAGATCTTGGGGGACTGGAGAGATGGTTCAGCAGTTAAGAGCACTGGCTGCTCTTGCAGAGGACCAGGGTTTGATTCCCAGCACCCACATGGCAGCTAACAACCATTCCTAACTCCAGTTCCAGGGAATCCGATGCCTTTTCCTGACTTCCACAGGCATTGCATGACAGGGGTACACTTCTATACATGCAGGCAATATACTCATACACATAAAATAAAAATAATAAATAAAATGTTAAAGAAAGAGGAGATCTGGAAAAATACCTCCCAATAGCTCATCCCATGCCTGCTGCATCATGCCCACTCCCCACCTCCTACCTGATCGCACAAGTGTCTCCCAGAAGGGCTCAAGGGCTTCCAGAGTATAGGAGAGTGAAGTTTGGGCACTGGGTGAAGGGGAAGCAGAAATATGACAAAATGGCCCCCAGGCAGGCAATAAGGGCTATCTTTTCCCTTGTTCTACCCAGGCTCACCTTCTACAAGGTGCACCAGGGGAATCCAGCATGGGGCAAGGGTCTCCAAGAAGGGTGTGGAGTGATGCACTGACACCCTTAGCCAAGGCATGTAGGTTGTAGCCACCCTGGGGAAGGAGTTGTCAGGGGAGGTGAACAGAGGGGCAGATATTACCAGGGACAAATACTGATAATAGTAACAATACTTGGGTACATGTCAAGAACAAGGAATTTAGAGGGTGACTTCATTTAATTCACTGGACAATGATGTAACTGTTTTGCCTATTTACTTTAAGAAAAGCAGAAGCACAAAGAATTATGAAGTAGAAATTCTGGGCCAGAACTTCCTGTATACTTGAAAGCTCTGGTTTTGTTTCTGGTGGTCCTAGAGATATACAGAACATGCTGCATATACTAAGCAAGCATTCTACCTTTCGACTACATCCCCCAAGGCCCAAAAGCTCTGTTCTTAAGGTCTCCAGGGGGCCAGCAAGATGGCTCAGAGGTTAAGGGTCCTTGTTGGCAAGGCTGGTGACTTAAATTCAATTCCTGGGATCCACATTGCTGAAGGAAAGAACTAACCCCTGCAAGTTGTTTTCTGACCTCTACATGCACACCATGGAATGCACACAGACACACAGACTAAACAAATACAAAAATTTTTTTGTTGGTGTTTTTGAAGCAGGGTCTCCCTGTGGCCCCAGCTGTCCTGGAACTCACTATGTAGACCAGGCTGGCCTTGAACCCACAGAGATCCGCCTGCCTCTGCCTCCCAAGTGCTGAGACTATAGGCGTGTGCCACCACGCCTGGCTACACATACAAAATTTTAAGCCCCCTTGGATCCACCATCTGAGATAAAGGTGAGTTACTTACCTCCAGAGACAGAATCAACTTGCCTCCTGCCAGACCCATAAGCAGGTGCGTTAGCTGGGCAAATCCTGCTGGAGTGGCAGCCATCTCTCCCTGAGGGGACATGAAGGATGACCCTGGCTCAGTACAGCCTGCTTTGCCTGTCTGATACCCCAGAGAGCCTGCCTTACCTTGGGATCCCCTAGGAGGGCATCAAATCCAGCAGCCACCAGGATCAGTTGAGGCTGGAACTGAGGAAGAGAACAGACTATGTGAGAATACCTGCCTTCATGAATCATTCCTCAATGTTGCTCCTCACCCCAAAATTTCCTAGATCTCCAGGACCTCAAAGGCAACTGGCAGCAGGATGTGCAGGAAAGCAGCAATGTAGTCAGCATCCCTCATTCCCACCTGCAGATACATAAACATGACAAGACAGTCACTTTGCCTAAGCCAGCAGGAGGACAGGGCTAGGCCTCACTTTGGGTGGGTGTCTACTGACCTGGTTCCAAGGCACATTGATGGTATATCCTTGGCCTTGGCCAAAACCTGTGGTAGACCAGTTAGAAGCCTTAAGGTGGGGCCAGAACCGACCTTGCTCATAGCGGTGGATGGAGAAGTAGAGGACACTAGGGGCAGAGAAAAGAAGAGTTGAAGATTGCCTATCAAGTTGAAGATCCTGAGTTCAAGCCGGATGTGGTGTTGCATGCCTTTAATCCCAGCACTCCCTGCAGATACAGGTGGATCTTCATGAGTTGAAGACTAGCTTGGTCTTCCAGGCCAGCTGGGGCTACAGGCAGGAAGACTGTCTCAAAAAGACACAAAAAAAGGCCCTGGGTTCAATCTCTAGCATAGAAAAAAGGACAAGAGAATTGGAGAAGTCAGACCAAATAATCCCAGTTCATAGCTGCAATGGCATATTCAACTACTCGTTTCCTTAGGCAATCACTCATTCATTCTCTCTATTAATTTTCCCATCAATTCTCAACTCATGCTTATAATTCTCATAATTATTCAATAAGTTTACCATTCCATTCACTTAGCAATTTATTCATTCTCTCATTCATGAATTATCCTACTGGTTTACCCATTTTTCTACTCATTCATTTGGTCTCCCACCCGATCCCTTCTGTCAATAAATATTCCTGCCCCTTTAGTGTCTATCCAATTCCAGACTCAGGTCTAAGATCTCAAAAGCTATTGAGTTTGTCCGAGAACCTGGGAGATGCTGACCCTGTGAGAAACTCTCAATCATGTCTGCTCATTGCCTTCCTCAGTGTTATGACCTCAAGGTAATAACAGCAGGATAAACCCCCGTAACACACGAGGCTCATGGTGCACTTATCTTGGGAAATCAGATAGGGCTGAAAAAAGCCTCAGTCCATGCTAGAGAACTTAGTGATTCCACCAAAGGAAGTGGAGAGATGCAGATGCAGAGGCCAGGAATAAGGAGAGATGGGGCTGCCTCCTGAGTGTTGGGACTAAAAGTGCATGCACCACCATGTCTGGCATGGGACTTGGTTTTGTGTGTGGAGTAGAGGATGCTATCTAAGGCTGCCATACCTCCATCAGTGAGGGCCTTCCTTTCTCAACATTTCACAAGCCATCTCTTCTACTACTATTTCATGAGAAAGTGCTCACAGGGGTGAGAGGAACCAACATGCACAACAGATGCCAAAAAGACATGATGTGTAGGTTCTGGCTGAAAAGATGAAATGCACAGCTTCAGGCTGAAAGGATATGATGTACAGATTCTGGCTGAAAAGACATGATAAATGTGTTCTAGCTAAGAAGACATGATACTCAGGTTGAGACTGAAAGGACATGCTGTACAGACTCCAACAGAAATCACAGCAGGGGCTGTGAGGGCCTTACTCTGCTTGAGGAAAACAAAGTAAATAATGTACCATTCATCTGTTCATTTATCTACCCAATCATCATCTATTTAATCATCTTTCCCTTGCCTTGTTCCAGTAGTCTAAGGCAGCACCAATCTCCTTTTTACAGGAAATGCCAAAAATAGGGGTAAGCTATGAATCTAGACAAATTTAAGAGATGTCTCAATAAATGCTGAAAATATAGCTGTAAAATGTAAGCCATGGATATAAAAGGATTCTTAAAATTGAGCAAAAATATCTTGGAATTGGGGAATGAAACCAACATAAAAAGCTCTAGTCTTGCCAGGCGTGGTGGCACACGCCTTTAATCCCAGCACTCGGGAGGCAGAGGCAGGCAGATCTCTGTGAGTTCGAGGCCAGCCTGGTCTCCATGGTGAATCCAGGACATCTGGGGCTACAGGGAGATCCTGTCTCTAAAAGGCCAAAAAAAAGCTCTAGTCTTGAGTGGGTAAAGGATGATTTTTAAAATTTTATATCACGCCGGGCGTGGTGGTGCACGCCTTTAGTCCCAGCACTTAGGAGGCAGAGGCAGGTGGATCTCTGTGAGTTCGAGGCCAGCCTGGTCTACAAAGTGAGTTCCAGGCCAGCTGGGGCTACAAGGAGACCCTGTCTCATAAAGATCCATCATCCCAGCTTGGGCCTAGGCTCCTTCACGCTGCTGGAGAACCACCTGGTAACCTGCCTGGAGCCATCCTATCCCTCCAATAAAAAAAATCAAACCCGAGAATCTGAAACACAGACCAATTAACTATTCATATTTGATCAGAACAAGCTACAATGACAATAAAAACAAAACTAAATTTCAACTCAATAAAGGCAGTCTAGAATTTTGTATCAAGACATATAGGTCACATTGAAAAAATAATATGAAAAACCAAGATAATATGTTTTCACTGAATTTCACCAGTCCTATAGAAGTGTTCAACAGTGAGAATTGTAGAGTAACCCCAGGACACAAAAGTTAAAAAAACAATTTTATGTTTATAAAGAATTCAAGGATTTTAAAGAATACACAAACAACTCATTGAACTCAAACAAGATAGGAATAAGCTCCAATATCCAGCTTAATAAAATGACAGAGACAATTCAGGATTTGAAAGGTGAATTCACAAAAGACATAGAAAAACTGAAGAAAACTCAAGCCAAAATGAAGATAGCATTGAAAAGCTCAATAAGCCAATTTGAAACAACAGGAAAAAGCCTCAAAAGTAGAATGAATGAAATGGAAAACAGAATATCAAGACTGGAATTGAACTGTTCAAGCAAAGAATACGAAAAATTAAAAAAAAATCCATAGGAATATGCAGGAAATATGGGATACAAAGACCAAATATATGCATCAAAGGCATAGAAGAAGGTGAAGGCTCTCAGGACAATGGCATGGACCAGACCTTCAACAGGACTAAATTTAAGGAAATTTCCCTAAATTAAGGAAAGACACAACCATACAAATACAAGAAGCACACAGAACATCAAATAGACAGGACCAGAACAGAAACTACCTGTGGCATATCATAGTAAAAACACTAAGTATACAGAAGAAAGAGAGGGTACTGAAAGCTGAAAGAGAAAAACAAGTTACATATAAAGGAAAACCCATCAGAATTACAGTTGACTTTTCAATGCAAACTATAAAAGTCAGAAGAGCCTGGAGCAAAGTATTCCAAGTTCTAAATGATCATAGATGCCAATCCAGAATACTTTACCCAGAAAAACTGTTTATCATAGTCCAAGGAGAAACAAAAATATTCCATGATACAAATAGGCTGAACAAACTCATGTCTACCAAACCAGCCCTACAGAGACTACTCAAAGCAATACAAAGCACCCAACAAAGGAATGACCATACCCAAGAGGCAACAGAAAGAAAACAAATGAAAGTATAATTCATTTATGGTTCACAGAAACACAAAATAGGACTAAGAACACAAACAGAAAAATAAAATGACAGTAACCAATATACATCTTTCAATAACAACTTTAAATATCAATGGCCTCAACTCCCCAGTAAAAAGACAGGCTAGTTGAATGGATTAAGAAAAAAGATCCAAGCTGGTCATGGTGGTACACACCTTTAATCCCAGCACTGGGGAGGCAGAGGCAGGTGGATCTCTGTGAGTTCAAGGCCAGCCTGGTCTACACAGTGAGTTCCAGGCCAGCTGGGCAACAGGGAGGTCCTGACTTGAAAAGACCAAAAAAAAAAAAAAAAAAAGCCCAGGTTCAGATGGATTCATAGCAGGATTTTACCAGACCTTGAAAGAAAATATACAACCAATACTATTTAAATTATTCAAAAAGATAGAAACACAGAGAGAATTCCCAAACTCCTTCTATGAAGCTAGTATTACTCTAATACCAAAACCAGGTAAAGTCACAACAGAAAAAGAAAACTATAGGCCCACGTCCCTAATGAACATAGATACAAAAATTCTCCACAAAATACTTGGAAATCACATACAGACATATCAAAGAGATTATCCACCACAATCAAGGTGACTTTATTCCAGAGATACAGGGATGATTAAATATTCATAAGTCAATAAACATAATAAATGACATAAATGGACTTAAAGTAAAAAATCATATGATCATCTCAATAGATGCAGAAAAGGCCTTTGACAAACTCTAACATGCATTCATGAATCAAGTCCTAGAAGGAATTGGACTTCATGGAACATACCTCAGCACAATTAAGGCTATATACTATATACAACAGACCCACAGCCAACATCATTGCAAATAGAAAAAAAAACTTGAAGCTTTCTCATTAAAATCAGGAACTAGACAAGACTGTCTACCACTCCATTTCAATACAGTGCTTGAAACTCTAGCTTGAGCAATAAGACAAGAGAAGGAAATTAAAGGAGTACTAATTGGAAGAGGTCAAATTATCCCTATTTGCAGATGATATGATATTATACATAAGAGATTCCAAAATTCCACCAGAAAACTGCTAGATATCATCAACACTTTCACCAAAAAAGATCAATTTATGTCACCAGTCTTATAACTAACAAACAGAGACGGAAACACTCCAGTTCACAATAGCTTCAAAAAGGGTAAAATATCTAAGAATAAACCTAACCAAAGACATTAAAGAACTCTACAATGAAAACTATAAATATTTGAAGAAAGAGATTGAGGAAGACACAAGGAAACAGAAAGACCTGCTGGGCTAATGGGTTGGTAAAACTAATACTGAAAAAATGACCATCCTACCCAAAGCAATCCCAATCAAAATCCCCATGACATTCTTCACAGAAACAGAAAAAAAAATCCTAAAATTCATATGGAATCACAAGAGACTCTGGATAGCCAAAGCAATCCTGAGCACAATGAGTAATGCTGGGGGGAGCTGCTATACCAAATTCCAAACTATTTTACAGAACTATAGTCATAAAAACAGAATGGTACTGGCACAAAAACAGTCATGTAGATAAATGGAACATAAATGAAGAGCCAAACATGAGTGCATGAAATTTCAGCCGCCTGATATTTGACAAATGTGCCAAGAACACACACACTGGAGGAAAGACAGCATTTTTAACAAATGGTGCTGGAAAAACTGGGTCTCTACATGAATGAAATTAGACCCGTATCTATCAGCCTGAAAAAAGGGCTCAAAGCCCTCAATGTGAAGCCTGAAACCCTGAAACGCTAAAACTGTTAGAAGATATAGGCAGTACCCTACAAAATATAGGTACAGTAAAGGACTTGCTAAATTGGACTTC